TAATTCACATTAATCCTTGAGGCTGTTTTATCTCTCGCAGCCCTTAAAATAAAAGTTAAACGTAAATCTTCAATAAGAATTTAATCAACTATTTCCTAACAATAAAGTTATATTCTAATCTTATTCACCGAATTTTTTAATTATTATATCTCAGCAACCTATTAGTTAAATATTAACTTTCGCAATTTATGTTTCTATTTCTTTGTCAAAATTATTTCTAGTGATCACTTGATAATAATTCTAAAATCTAAAATATCATAGTCTTTATTAGTTTCAAAACCTTTGTCTTTAATTTTAGATTTTATATTCCTACATAAACATAATCTTAACCACATAATTTTTCTCTTTCATCTTTATTTACATATTTTTCTTACGTTCTTCTGGAATTTTTTTTTTTTTTTTGTATTAGAATACAGTTTGACACATCTCCTTGTTGCCGGTCACAGACTGAAGGTTATTAAGGGCCGGTCTCCTCCGCTCTTCGGCACCACTGTCACAACGACAAGATTGTCATTGTGCATCAAAACCTAAATATAAAAATAGAAAACAAATATATATATATAAAAAGGAAATTAATAATAATTAGAAATCACGAAATCATAAAATCAACTTTAATTCTTTATTCAAAATTATAATAGTAAAAATCATAAAAAAATAAAATTAAATTAAAAAATTAAAAGTAAATTTTAGTTAAAATAATAATCCCTTTTTCGCATCATAATTTCTCCATTATATATCCTTTTTCTTTAATCAACATTTACATAGTCTCACTAGCGAAGAATAAAAAGTTCTACATCCCACTTGTTAAAACTGTTAAAGTATGAAAAAATCTACAAATCTCACGCGTTTTTTTCTCATTTACATAGACGGGGATATTTTAATAACACATTATTTTTGTTTACGATTTGCATAATGCATTTTTTTGTAAAGTAAAACTGCAACTTTTACGATTTGCATAATGCATTTTTTTGTAAAGTAAAACTGCAACAATTTACCTTATATATTATAGTATATATGAATCAAATAAAGGTCACTACTGAATATGAAGAAAAGAAAGTTAGATGTGATATCTGTTTACATTCCCTAATTGATAATTCCGCAAACGACAATAATTATACATTAATAAAAATTAAGAATTATGGTGGATTGATAATACCATCCCAAAGCGTGTCAAATTTATGCAAAATAACAGAGAGCTCATTTAGGGCTTTTGAAAAAGTAGATGATATAACCAAAAGACATGCTGTTAAAAAAATCAGAGTTGTACATTTGCTCAAAATAAAAAGATCGTAAAATTTGAAGATCTTTTATTTATAAAAATATGTAAAATTTGAAGATCTTTTATTTTTTAAAAATTTTGTGTAATGATCTTCAAAGATATTCATGATATTTATTTTTTTACCCCTTTATCCAGATGTTTTTCAATTTTATTAATATAATATTTCTTTTATTTTTTATACCTCTCCTCCTGCCTTGATGAAAGAAAATAATAAATTTTTTTTAAAAAAAAAATATTGACACAGCATGTTTCTAAAATTTTTGATGGCTTTATTATTAGATTGCAAAATATTAAAAAAAGAGTGCCTACAAGAATATTTTTTTTGATTGATATGTATAAGAGTTTTTAATATTATCATTGAAAAGTGAAATAATTTTTATTTATTTGAATTGTAAAAAAAATATTTAAAAATTTATTGAAAAGCTTCCTTTTCTTCCGAAATTTTTTAAAAAAAATAAAATTATAACTGTTTCCAATGAGAGTGTAGGTAGTGTTGCATATTATATAATAGTAAAGATGTGCTAAACCCATATTTTAAAAAAATTGGGTTTGGGCTTTGTCGGTTCTAAAAAAAAAATTTTTAAATTCCGACCAGGTCGGGTAGTGCCTTGGAAATTTTTTAAAATAAATATAAATATATGAATAATTATAAAAAATTAATTTTTGCTGGCTGTGCTGGTAAAATTTTTTTAATCGAGTTCGAGCCGAAAAACATTTTTTAAAAATTTTGGGTTAAGCTTGAAAAATTAGGCCCTATGCAGATCACTATAATACATTATTATAATATATTTTCCTCTCGCTAATTAATAAGTAATTACTATGTTTAAGATAACACATTTGCATTTTATATATCCAGTAATAAATTTTTATTTCATTTTTTTTAAAATTTTTAAATCAAAATATAAATCTTTTTTTTTGTGAGTTTTAAAAATAATTTCCGGTATTGAAAAAAAGGAATCAAAAAAACAGACCGGTCTATGGATCTTGGAAACTTTCTTAGAAAGTGTGTCAGCATACCCTGGCTTAATAAATTAGTATCGCTATGCCAATTCCCCTTACTACTAGTTCAGAATGAGGTGCTAACTTTCTTTTAATTTCATCGCTATTTTTTAATATTGATTTTTTAAATAATTTTAGAAATGTATCTATTGGACATATATATTTGATAACATTAGTTCCTAAATTTGATTGAGATAATTATAATACTTTTGGATATTCGTATTATTTAAGGGGGGGGGGGGGTGTGCCTATTCTAAAGTCAAAATATAGTATAATTTATAATATCCATTTATACTTTTTATCTTTTATTAATTAATAAAGTTTAATAATTATTATTAAGGATAATTTATATTAATGAGGGTCTGAACCCCGGGTCTCTGCTCAGAGCTGGTTTGGTCGATTTTTTAGACCCAAACCCCGGGTCTGGTTTTATACAACCAACCAATTAACAACACTTTAATATTATGTAAAAGTCATGCTTTTACTATTTACAACGATATAAAATAGCAAGTTGCGATTTTAAAAATAAAAGTAAAACAAAATTAACACTTTCCCAAGATGTCTAGGAAATGTCATAAAGACCACCAATAAAATCAGAATGATATGATATATTTGTCATATTATATTTCCTTAAAATAAGCTAAATTTGAATAAAAAAATTAAGCCCAAGCCCAGCCCAAGTTAGTTGGGTCTAGAATTTAACAACCCATAATTATATCAGAAACATGGATAGGGTATAGACCTAAATATATATTTTCTAGCCGGCCTAGGCCGGGTTTGGGTTCTTTGGAAATTTTATGCAATATGACTTGGGCAGGGCTTGGGCTTAATTTTTTTATTCAAATTTAGCTTATTTTAAGGATATATAATATGACAAATATATCATGTCATTCTGATTTATTGGTGGTTTTATGATATTTCCTAGACATCTTGGGAAAGTGTTAATTTTGTTTTACTTTTATTTTTAAAATCGCAACTTGCTATTTTATATCGTTGTAAATAGTAAAATATGACTTATTATTAAAATGTTGTTAATTGGTTGGTTGTATAAAACCAGACCCGGGGTTCAGACCCAGAGTCCAGACCCGGAATTCAGGCCCAAGGTTCAGACCCTCATTAAGATAAATTATCCTTAATAATAATTATTAAACTTTATTAATTAATAAAAGATAAAAAGTATAAATTGATATTATAAATTATACTATATTTTGACTTTAGAATAGGCACATCCCCCCCCCCCCTTAAATAATAAGAATATCCAAAAGTATTCTAATTATCTCAATCAAATTTAGGAACTAATGTTATCAAATATATATGTCCAATAGATACATTTCCAAAATTATTTAAAAAATCAATATTAAAAAATAGCGATAAAATTAAAAGAAAGTTAGCACCTCATTCTGAACTAGTAGTAAGGGGAATTGGCATAGCGATACTAATTTATTAAGCCAGGGTATGCTGACACACTTTCTAAGAAAGTTTCCAAGACCCATAGACCGGTCTGTTTTTTTGATTCCTTTTTTTCAATACCGGAAATTATTTTTAAAACTCACAAAAAAAAAGATTTATATTTTGATTTAAAAATTTTAAAAAAAATGAAATAAAAATTTATTACTGGATATATAAAATGCAAATGTGTTATCTTAAACATAGTAATTACTTATTAATTAGCGAGAGGAAAATATATTACAATAATGTATTATAGTGATCTGCATAGGGGCTAATTTTTCAAGCCCAACCCAAAATTTTTAAAAAATGTTTTCCGGCTCGAACTCGATTAAAAAAATTTTACCAGCACAGCCAGCAAAAATTAATTTTTTATTATTATTCATATATTTATATTTATTTAAAAAAATTTCCAAGGCACTACCCGACCTGGCCGGAATTTTTAAAAATTTTTTTTAGAACCGACAAAGCCCAAATCCAATTTTTTTAAAATATGGGTTTAGCACATCTTTACTATTATATAATATGCAACACTACCTACACTCTCATTGGAAACAGTTATAATTTTATTTTTTTTAAAAAATTTCGGAAGAAAAGGAAGCTTTTCAATAAATTTTTAAATATTTTTTTTACAATTCAAATAAATAAAAATTATTTCACTTTTCAATGATAATATTAAAAACTCTTATACATATCAATCAAAAAAAATATTCTTGTAGGCACTCTTTTTTTAATATTTTGCAATCTAATAATAAAGCCATCAAAAATTTTAGAAACATGCTGTGTCAATATTTTTTTTTTAAAAAAAATTTATTATTTTCTTTCATCAAGGCAGGAGGAGAGGTATAAAACATAAAAGAAATATTATATTAATAAAATTGAAAAACATCTGGATAAAGGGGTAAAAAAATAAATATCATGAAGATCTTTGAAGATCGTTACACAAAATTTTTAAAAAATAAAAGATCTTCAAATTTTGTTGCTCAAATTTTTTTATAAATAAAAGATCTTCAAATTTTACGTTCTTAAAAGATCTTGCTCAAATTTTTGAGCTAGATCTCGCTCAAAAATCTTCAAAGAAGATCTTTTGTACAACTCTGAAAAAAATAGAATGTCTAATATTGTCAAAAATATTAGGCACAAATATCCTTAGTGACCTGCAAGATCATATGTTTGATCAAGAGGCAGGGTTAAGTCATTATTCAAATTATAATAAGACTTATAATAAAAAGGTATATATAATATTTACTTGATTTTATTAAAAATTTATTTTCAGATACCTGCACATAATAATGCATCATTTTGGTAATAAAGTAAATCAAAAATTACAATTAAATATCAGGCAAAAACTAAACAAGGCTGTACTTTTTCAAGGGCAATAAACCAAGTAATATAAAAATATGTTATTTAACTTAAATATTTATAGGTGAAGAACAAATTATCTAAAAATTTCTAATGACTTTATTGGTTATAATAAATTAATTTTATTAGACATAAATATAACATATATATATTATTTGTATTTATTATTGATTTATAAGATTAATATTTTCTTTTCGTGATACATATTAATTATAATAATACAATTATTTTATTTGATGTAAATATAACATAAAATATATTATTTGTATTTTTCATGATATATATTTACATTATTGATTTTTATACTTTAGTGAATTAAATTTAAATAAAGAAATATATTTAGAAATGGATAGTTTATATTTATTAAGGAATAACATAATTATAAGCAAAAATAAAACATAAAAGACATAAATTATAAATATACAAAAGAAATCTAGAATTGATTTCTATAAAAAAATATTCATGTATTTTTGAATTAATCTGGCTTCTAGGAAACCTGTATGTTATAATTTATTATTCATTATTTTGTTACTTTTAGAAGATGCTTTGGAAAATTAAAAATTGATGGTATTGTTCCCTCTCTTAATTGAACATGATTTGTAACAGATGGAATAAATGAATCTGGTGTAAAATGCTTTGAACATAATTTACTATATTTTGTTACATTGAAGTTCTCTCTCTTCACAGCATGGGTCCACTTTGTAATAATATTTTATCTTTCATAGGAAATCTGCCATAAATAATTTTTACAATAGAATAATTAATTTGAGATATCATACTTATGAAAGGAAATTTTGCTTCCTCAGCAATATACTACCATTTTAAATCTTTTAGTAATTAAAAAATATTAAATTGAATTCTTATAAAAGATATTCATTATTAAAAAATAAATTAAAAATGTTAATAAAGAGCAGAAATATTTCAAGAAAATATTCAGTAGTGACCTTTATTTGATTCATATATACTATAATATATAAGGTAAATAATAAATTGGTGTTTAATTAGAATATATATATATATTATAAATATAAACATAATTAAAATATACCTGAAATTTATGAAATTATCATATGCTTCTTTCGTAAAAGATATAAACACAAAATGGCCACCAGTCACTTTAATTTTTGCCACTTCAAATTTGATTTTAGCATTACAATCGGCAGTCTATAGTATTAATGTCATTGATATTAACATTTCCCTCTTTTTTTAAATATCTTCTTTCATCAGTTTCTTATCTTCACTTCCAGTCATTTGTTTCTCAATTGCTCCATTAGTCACTTGTTCGTATATCTTGAGATTTTGCTGTTTGTATTGATCATCCCATTTTTCTTTCAAAATTATATATATATATTTTTTTACAAAAAATTTTTATTTATTTATAACAATCATTTTCTATGTCGTAAGTCATATTCTCGCTTTTGAACTTGACTTTGAATTTTTGAATTTTGAACTTGATTTTGAATTTTTGAACTTGAACTTGTTCACTTCTTCCCCCCTCTAAAAAATTTTTCTCCTTTGTAGTATAATTTTCATTTGATATTTTGTTCGTAGCCTGAGTCAATTGGTTTGTTCTTAGCTTGTTATCCTTAGCCTAATCATTCGCTTGAACATCATCCTCACATTAGCTTGTTCATCTCGTTATTTATTATCATTTTTATTTATTTATCAATGTTTGTAAATATATATTATGATCAATATATCTCAAATAAAATAATTTTGGAATAATTGAAATGATAATGGAATAAATAATTTATCAGAATCATTCATAGAATAAGATCATAATTTGGAATATAGAATAATAGTATATTTGGAATTGTCTCTTTTTATATAATAATTTATTTATTTATTATTTAATTATTTTTATTTTTAAATTTTACTCCTTTATTTTTCAATTTAAACAATTTTTTTATATCATAATTTATTTTCAACTTGTTCTTTATAAAAAATTTTATCTTTCTTCTTCCATTTTCAACATACGATCTCCACATCATACTCTTAAAAACTTTTTCAACATCAATATATTTAATCACCTTGCCTCTCTTTTTAAAATTTGTTCTAATTTTCTTTATTTCCAAAGTTTTTTAAAATTTTTTATTAATTATAAAATTTTTATTTTATTATTTTCTCTAATTTTTATTTCATTATTGTTTTTAATCACTATTATTTCTTCAATTGTTATCATATGATATTTCTTTTAATTTATAAGAATTTATATCTTTTTTAACATTTGGTATTAATTTACATAATTCAATTTTATTCAAGTTTTTATTATTTTAACTTTTAAAATTTTTATTAGGATAAGATATATTATTTGATCTAGATTTTTCAATTATCTCTTTTACCTCTTTATAATTACAAAAATATTTTAATATAGATATTGCCTCTTCATAACTTGAACTTCCATATATCGGTAACATTGTGTCCATAGCAATTATAAGTCATCTGGTAGATTAAATGTTAAACTCAAAACATCTTTACTCTCATGGTATTTTAAATAATCTTCTAATTCATCTATAGATTTTGTTTTATTCTTATTGTCCCATATAGGTTTATTCATATTTAAAATATTTTATTATTAGAATTTTATTATATTAAATTTTACATTTTAATCATCTCGTGTTTTTAGAATTAAATTAACATCATTTTCCATAATCCTCTTTCTTCGCCACCATAATAATTTAATGGAAGGCGATAAAAATTAAAAAATTATATCTTTAATTAAATTTATTTTTATTAACACTTCTTAACACTAAAATATTTAACATTTTGTGCTCTATATATATACATTTTAAATTTACATTTTTACATATTAAAATAAAAAGTTTTTTAAAATAAAAAAAGAATTTAGACAAGTTCGTCCTTATACTTTATAAAAAGTAAAAGAAAATTAAAGGTCATTTAATTTAAAAAGAAAAAAATATAAAGTTTATTCAAAATTTATATATTAACAAAACCAAAAAAAATATTTATTTAAAAAAACTAATATAATAAAATTTAGACCCTGATATATATATTAATAATAATTTTATACATTTACAAGTCATTCTAAATGTGGATAATTATTTATCAAACTATTGTATCAATTTGTACGATTTTAAAGGTTTTATAAAATTTAAATTCTCTGTACTTAAAGAAATATTCATTCACGGGAATTTCACGTTCTATTTCTAAAATTTGTCAAAAATATTGAATGGAAAAGGTTATAGAAAAGATGCCACCTTTATTTAAAGATAAAATTGAACCTGCTTGGAGAAATTTAGATAAATCTTTGAACCAAAAAAATTTTGCCACAAACATTTTAAGCAAAGTTGAAGATACTACCAAAATAAATCGAAAATATATTCTTTTAGGTATTCTTAAGCTTTTATGCTGTAATAAAATTTTTATAGGGTTAGTAATATTTATTGCTCTTTATTTAATGTTCGGATATGGAGCTCATTTATTATGTAACCTCCTTGGATTTGCATATCCTGCATATGCATCGTAATAAAATTTTTAAATTTTTTTATGTAAAATATATTATAGGTTTAAAGCTATTGAAAGTAAAAATAAAGAAGATGACACTCAATGGCTAGCATATTGGGTAGTGTTTGCTGTTTTCAGCCTGATAGAATCTTTTGCAGATTTAATATTATCATGGGTGCCATTTTATTATTTAGCAAAAGTATAGTATTATTTATAGATACTTAGCTTAGTGTTTTTTAAAAATATAAACAATAATTATTTTATAAACAGTTAAAAAAAAATCTAGATTTTTTATGAAATCCACAACAATATATCTATAAAGAATTTGGAATTTTAAATAAAGCTTAAGATTTTAAAACCTTAATTCAATGGCTCTTTTTGAAATCTTATTGATTAAATATGTATCAATCAATATTCATAATATAAATCTAACTTGTTTATGAGGTGATGAAATCTATGTTTTATGATACTTGATTTATAAAGTATGAGATATATATTTGTAATGAATTTTGATAATTTTAAGACCTTAATTCAGTGTCTCTTTTTATAAATTTTATTATTTAAATATGTATCAATCAATATGCATTATATAAATCTAACTTGCTTATGAGGTGATGAAATCATAATTTTATGATACTTGATTTATCAAGTATGACATATATTTGTAATGAATTTTAATGAATCATAATTTTATAAAAATTGTTTGAATATTTTATAAATTTTATTATCTTATGTCAAATATAGTAGTGATCTGCATCGGGCCTAATTTTTCAAGCCTGGCCCGAACCTGAAATATATTTTAAAAAAATTTACTGGCCCAACCAGGCCCGAATTTATTTAAATATAGAAATTAATTTTTATAATTACTTAAAATAAAAGACATATGTTATATAGCATTTAGTTTCAATAAATTATTTTAAAAAATTTTATTTTACATAAAAAATTTAATATAAAATTGATAAATTTAGATATATTTAATAAAATTTCCAAGGTCACTCCTGACCCGGCCCAAAATTTTTTAAAAATATTAGGTCTGGCCTGAACCCAATTTTAAATAGAATTAGACCCGAGCTTGGCCTGAAGCCCGTTTGTACCAGGCCAGGTAAGGGCTGGGCCTAACTTTGCAGATCTCTAAAACATAGTGAAATTATCAATATATATAATTCAAGAATATTTTTCAAAGGATTTTGGGAGTTCAGCACCAACCTAAATTAATCAAGGAGGTTGTCAGTTTTGAAGGTTGTGAAATTAGTATTGTCTTAATAACTCTCCCCAAAATATTTATTATTTAGAATGTATAGGAAGTGGCTTTGAATTAGGAATATCTGAAGTATTTTTATTAAATCAAACATTGGTGAAATTCCAATAATATAATTTTGAAAATAAAAATTCTCTCTCTAATGCAAATTAATATCATTTATATCAAAGTAGCGAGCTAACTTTTTTGGTTGCTATAGCTAATAGCGGCTACTTTTTTTGTAATTATTTAATTTATAGCGCGCTACATTTTTTAAATTTTAAAAAATGTAATGAAGGTAAGTATAAACATGAAAATTTAAATATAATATCATAATTAATTATAATTTTTATGTTTTATTATTTAATTTTGAAATTAAAATATAATTTCAATTTGTAATTTATATTTTCATTTGTATTATAAACCTAAATCACGTGTTAATAATTTAAAATGTCATGGCCTATGGATATCCAAATCGTTGAAAGTGATTCAGACAATGATATTAATGAAATGGAAGTTACCAAGGGAAGAAAATGTTCTTAATAGCTATAATACAAATTTCCCATTCCCTAGATTTGAAAATTTTTTAAATAAATATATAACCAAAACTGGTTTCAAATTTATTTATTTAAAATGTAAAAAAAAATATTTCCCCAAATCAATCCAGTAGCTATAACCTCAAAAAACACCCAAAAGTAAATTGTCATTTTTACATTCTAATAATATTTATTTTATAAGACTGTTCATGAGTTTTAAGGAAATGGAGAAACATCTAAATAATTTTGGTATAGGCGACTCTACATCCAAAAAGACTAATTCAATTCAAACCAAATTAATTAATAATGCAAATGACAATATTTCTCAGAAATTGGCTGATAAAGTTATTGTTGATTTTATAATTTGTACAGTTCAGCCAATGTCCTTAGTTGATAATCCATCATTTACCATGATGATTAAAACTATCCCCCTGGTATAACAATTTTATGCCGCCAGACACTAATGAATAAAATAGCATATAACTTTAAAATGATGAAAGATGCTCTAATAGTAGAGTTATCAGAGATATCATATATATGTACCACGGGAGATAGTTGAACACATAACAGAAGGTAAAAACTTATTTATATTTATAAATTGATCTGATTAAATATTTTCGAGCTTATTTGGGAATCACAGGCCATTGATTAGACCCTAGAACTTTAAAAAGAAGATCAGTGGCATTAGCCCTCAAAATGATAATAGGATGCCTAACATACGATGTACTTGCAAATAAAATTATTGTATCTCTTTTTTTTAAATTTTCTTAAAACTTTTATCAATATATGTATATAAAATTAAATACGACCATACCCTCAAGTGCTAGTGTCGAGAGATTATTTAATAAGGCAAAACATATACTTTCTGATCGTCGTTCTAGACTTGGGGATGATAATATTGAAATGATTTTATTATTAAAATGCAACAAATTACCATAAATATTTATTTTTATTACATAAATTTTTTTATAATCAAAACTAACTATATTTTAATATTTATAAATGTTGATTTTTATATATTTGCTATACAATAACATTATAAACAAAAAATAAAAAATTTGTTTGTAAATTTTTTTTATAAAAAGTAGCTAAAGCTACTTTTAAAAAATAGTAGCTAATAGCGAGCTACTTTTTTTGTCAAATAGCGGTAGCACGCTACTTTTTTTAACATATAGCAGTAGCGCACTACTTTTAAAAGTAGCGTTTAACAACTCTGATTTATATACTATGTTTAATAATTTAACAAGAAGTTAATATATAAATTTTCCATTATATTAACTCACATTTAACGATAATTTATTTATTTTATTTATAGCCACAAAACATTATAAAAGCAGATAATATATAATTATAAATAAAAGACCATTATAATATAAAGTATTACTACATGCATTGAATAAAATTATGAGATAAAGATATGTTACATTAAGAAAAAGATGAAATACAATAATTAATATGCCAACAATTCATAAAAAAGGGATGGGGGGAGTCAATATAGTTTTCCATACTAGTCTTTTGTATTTATAATTTTCATTTAAAAACTATAATTTACGGGGCTAATTGACCTTATAGTTGTGTAATCATAATTACAATAATGGATTAACATTATATATTACATCCAATTATTATATGATAATACTAATATGAAGTAATTAGAATCAAATTCAACAAAAAAATTTATTTTTTAAAAAATAAGCAGCCCTTCAGTTTTAGTAAAATCCCATGCGAGTGCTGGAATATATAGCAATTGTTTTCATGTTGTGTCTAATCATCAATTGTTAATAAGTGGCTCTTCTTCCTTAGTAACATACCATGCATTGTTTTAAGTTCCATACCTTGTGAGTGCAGGAATTATATGGGGCCTTCCACACCAGCTTGCAATAAGCAGGTGCCTCTATCCTTCACAATGTAAGAATTGGCTCAGAATTAGGAATATCAGAAGTATCTTTATTATCAAACAACAAACCAATAACATAATTGTGAAAGTAGAAATTATGTCTCTAATGGTGTAAAATAATATATTTAAAGTATGTTTAATTATTTAACAAGAAGAATTAATATATAAATTTCTCATTATATTAACTTTTACCTCTAACAATAATTTTAATATTTTAATTATAGCCACATAATATAATATTTTAAATATAAGACCATTAAATATAAAGTATTTTTACAGAATAGTTTTAACAATGATTGACAAAGTTGGTCATTTTTTGAATAGTTATATTTATATTGTAAAATAAATTTGTGTTATAAATTTTAATCAATTAATTAAAAGTTATAATCAATTCTGCAATAATATAATTCATTATTTACAGTGTTTGGTTTTAATCTACCTCTATCATCCTACCACTTTTGGGGCAAGAGTATTATATAAAAAATTTATTCGTCCCTACATGCTAAAATATCAAGGGGCTGTGGACACTGCTATGAACAAAGCAAATAAATTGGCTGAAAAGATCACTGAAGACAGTAATTTATCTATAGATGCATTAATATTTAAAAGGATAAATGTTTTTATATTTTCTTATAATACTCATATTTTTGTGTATTAATTTTTTTAGCCAGAACTAATGTTGTTTCATCTTACACTGATGGTCTTGTTCATGAAATAAGAAGCAAAGGTGATTGATATATTGGCATGATCTACCTGTACAACTAAAAAAAAAATATGAAAGGCACTGTATTGATTTTATTTAACATTTTGTACTTCGTTTTTTTGGATTTTTTTTACTCAATTTGTCACTTTTTTATCGATTATTTTTACATAATATTATAAAATTTAGGATTGTATTTGATTTATACTAGTCCACAACCCCCCCGTGATTAATTTATTCTAGTTTATTCCCTAAAATTACAAGACCATGTATTTATAAATATGTAATCGATCTGCTACAAAACCGTATTAACAGTTAAAATTATATACCTTTTTCAAATTATTAATCAACATTTATTATAATTTTTTTTAACCCTGTTTTATAATGTTTTATTAATATATTTTTTTACAAAAAAATGCACCTAATGTGATATATCCTAGATACATGGCGTTATATTTCATTCGCATAGATCGTTTTTATTATCTGTTCAATAAATAGATCATTTCATCGATTTAAACAGAATATTTTATTGAGCATTTTTATATAAATATTATGCTTTTCTTTGTAATACTTAATCTTTGGGATCAACCATTAATATGAACAATAAAAAATCCACATTTAATTTATAAGTACTATATATTCCATATTACTATTTGAGCCAAAAACATTTTATTTTGATAAAAAACGAATGCTATATTATAAATTTGTTATTCAAAAAAAAATGCAAATGTTTTGTTTATATTTGAAAACGAAGGTCGGTATATATTAAATGATTTATTTATTTTAAATAATATGTTGACATATATGAGAGAAACATTCTTCGGACTAATAAATATATTGATAAATTTTAAGCCATATATTTTGGGCCTTTTAAAAGAATGTAAATCTGCCGTAAACAATCCTTTTGAACGATTACCTAAATATAAAAATCGATTAAGTGTGGGTAGGAATTCGAATCCGGAGAAGAAAACCCGGATTTTTGGAAAAATATCTGAACCGAACATGAACCCCGTTTATAAAATTTTCAAAACCCCAAACCGAACTCGAAAATTTTATTTGAACCCGTGTTCAGTTAATTGTTTAATCATATATTAAGATATTTTTATAATTGTAAATATAAATATTAAGAATTTAATTGAGATTTTATAAAATTTTCAAATTAAGATAAGTGTTAATAAATTTTAAACAACTTAATTCATTTACGCCATTTTTAATTTTTTTTAAAATTTATTCTCAAAGATTTCTATTGGAGTGTTAATAAATTTTAAACAATTTAATTCATTTAAGCCATTTATTTTTAATTTTTAACTTATTCTCAAAGATTATTAATTAGAGGAAAATGAAAGTGAACAAATCAAAGTAAAAGTGATTATATTGGATATTGTTTAAAGAAATACGTCTTAATAAAATATTTAAAATTGATACATGACTATGCTTTGATTTTTAACTATATTTTGCCCATAAATAAAATAAAAAATTTATTTTTTATACCAAATTAAGTCTAGTTTAAATCAATTCAAAAATTCTAAAGCCCTAGTTGAACTCGAAACCAAACCGGGGTGCAAAAATCTGAACCGACCCAACCCATATTTTTTTTTACCTTAAACCAAACCCGGGCAAAATTTTTGCCTGGTTAGCACCCTTTTTTGAAAAGGGGCCGCTAAAAAGTTTCTAATTTTAAAAAATAGCAAATTGTTGTGGTTAGATTGTTGGTTTTGCACGACCATGGTTTTTGGTCGAAGAAATTAACCAACCCAACCAAATGGGTCGACCAAATCGATAGACCCGAACACCAACCCAAAATTAACTTATATTTTATTATGAATTATTTTGCTTGATCATATTCTTATGTATAGAGGACAAATATTTCAGTTTTAACATTGAAATAATTATGTTTAATAATATATTCGATGTTTTAAAAAATTGTTTTCTTATATTCTGAAAATATTGTATAATTTTTACATTAAACTAGCAACTCGAGTTGTGATCGAAAAATAGAGGAAGATCAATTCAATTCCATATTAATTCACATCGAATTCAAAACAATTATCTTCTAAGACGGAAAAATTTATAGGAATTTATCGATTTTTATAATTCATCAAAAATTGAGGGTAATATATGTTTATTTAATAATTTTCAGGATCTGCCTAAAGTCGTAAATATTAGCTAAGGCTCAAGCTGATTAGTTGAGCTGGTTTAGGAGTTTGCTCTAATCATCCCAATAGTTGGCTCGAGTTTAATTTTGAGCCGAAATATATATATTTGTTATTTAACTCTAATTCGGTCATGGATAATAAATTAATTCTTTAATATATAGCCAAAAATTGCCTTCCCATCAGAATATTTAGCAATATTGGTTATCCAAAAAATTTTAAGAACTTGTATAATATACTCTCTATAGAATATTTCTATCTAATTCTTGTTCGCAAGTATGATAAAAAAATCCTTCACTGCAATACGATTAAGAATTCCATTACGAACTGATTGAACATTATACTTTAGACGATATTTTAATCATCAAATTTTATAAAAATTTGTTAACCAATATTATATTTTGAGTTTTAAGTTTTGATATTCATTTTTATTTATATAAAATTTATTAAATCCGTTATTAATATCTGTGAATAATTATATATTTATTGTCTTAGAATAGATAAAATAATTTTAATGAAATTGTTACGCTTTTTGATAATTTTGATAGAATTTTTACGGGCAATTAAATTAAATATAATTAAAAATAGATCCTTATCACATGACAAACCATGATATTTTTTTAACAAAACAATTATTTATTTCTGTAAAGATAATTAGAAATATTTAAAATATTGGGCAGATCTATGTACAAAATACTAGTTTGATTTTCTGAAATTTTATTTATTCTTCTAAATTTGTAATTAACTCTTTAGCAATTTAATATATAAATTCGATTGTTCACCATAACTAGTATAGTATTATCTAAAATATGGTGATATATAACATAACTCGGTGTTTTTATACCAATATGTCCGAGGACAGTATTATTTCGCGACATAATTCTTAAATATCAATTAACCATAAAGATATGTAAAGAAAAAAAATACTTTTATATATTTTGAAAAATTAGCTTAGACCATTTTCAGACAGAACGTTTATTTCAAAGCTGTTTTTGGGTAATACAAGCAATATTTTTTTATTTTTTAACATAACTTTTCTAATTAATTTTTTTATAAAATTTTATATTTTTAAAAAAACTTTGGAGCCCCATTTCAAGACGCCATTTAATCGTTATTAAAATCAAATCAGTTTGTTTTCTATTTCCGATTAAAAAAAATGGGAATGTTGATTGTTTTTTTAGAAAATATTATATTATATAAAAATAATTAATTTGTCAAGTTAGTATCCTTTGTTTGTAAATAAAAAAAATATATTGCTGGTAACATTACCCAAAACCTGTCTAGAAATAGCCTTAGTCTATTTTTTATAACAATTTTTTAGATAAATATAACCCCGGTTTCCCGTATGAGATTTTTATATTGAGACAATCTAGGATTTATATGATTAGATTCGTATCTGCTTATAGTTGTTCTACACCTAGCCCACATAAAAACAATTTACCAAACTTTTTAAATCTTCTAAAATTAATTAAAAACAGATAGCATGTACAACATATGTATATTATTTATTTAATAATACGACAATATATTTTAATTACATAAATATAGCGCTGTAAACGTTACTGCAAAAAAGAAAGTTATACTTGAAAAACGGAACGCGTTACAATTACTCGTTACCTTTTCAAAAAAGGAACGCGCGTTACCTACTTTTCAAAAAAGTAACGGGCTACTCGTTACTTAAAAAAATTAAATATATACAAAAATAATATTTATTTTTTTTCTGACACTATACAATAAAATAAAACTATACAAAAAGAATATATAAGATCGTTTTATAAAAAAAATATTCATATATTTAATTATAATAAAAATAAAATTATACAAAAATAATATATTATAAGATAACATCTTATGTAACAATTTTATTTTTAGCCATAATTGAATTTAAATTTTGATCAGACAAACAAAAGCACTTAGTGCTCAACATAGCTGGTTAAATAATGGGATGTTATATATAGAATTTGAATAATAAATAAAATCTATGAAATTCTCATACTGAAATACTCGTCCTCTATGTATAAAAATATGATTTGAGCAAAATATTCACAATATAATATTATAAATATTATATTAATGAGTTGGTCTTATGTTTATGTCGATGCTGGTCGGTGCTCGGGTTTATGGATTTGGTCGACCAGATTGACCCATTTTATTGGGTTGTTCTGGTTCATTTTTTCTACCAAAAACACTACCAAAATTATGCTAAGTCGACCCAACCAAGCAATATAACCACACTAATATTTATATAAAAAAATATAGGAAAAATTATTAATTGAACTAAGATTTTTAAGCATAACAATTTTTTATTATCATATTGAATATATATATGTTGATTTTTCTTATCTTTATATATTCTCCGTTTTGGCTGAACAATTGGAAGTACTTATTCTAAAATATGTCAATGTTTCATACTTTATTAGTCTGACTTTAACCAGCATAAAATGAAAAAATTATATATAACAGAATTTTGGCAAACCTTAAGATTAAAAAGGGACTGAAAGCATCATTCTGAAAATTTTATCAATGTTTAGTGCTCAATTTTATAATTTAATCCGTTTGGTAGACAGTAGAAAGAAAGAAAAATGGCATTGTAAATTATAAAAAAACTATACATCTGGTCTGACTAGCACTTTTAATTCCTCAAGCAAATATGAGAACCACAAAAATAAACTGAGTTATAAACCAAATGAAAACTGCGACGTCGCGTTTTAAGCTTGAAGTTAACCAAGTTTTTGAGAAAATTTGAAACCTATACCAAAGCATTAAGTATGGCTGTATCGATATTAAATATCGGGTCGGCGCCGATATTAGACTTACATAAAAAATATCGAATCTGCTAAAAATTTAACCGATGCTGATTAAATGCATATTTATTTTTGTACACATTTTTTTATCACATTTATTATTTATTTTCGAACTAATTTCCATAATCTTCATAACTCCCATAAAAAAGTGTTTTGTAAAATAAAATTTTTTAATGTTATATTTTTTTAACGATAGAAGAAGTAAAGTATATTAAGTAATATAAAAGAAAATTACCCAATATTTTATTTTTATTTGTTTATTCCTTTTGTTTTTGAGAAAGATCTTATAGTAAATAAAAATCTGCAAATTTAAATTTATTTAATTAACGAAGATATCAATATTTTATCTCTGATATATCCTCTTGATTATTGAAAGGTTAAAGCACAAAGGCTTCCAACTCTGGCAAATGCACGTAAGTATTTGGTATCTCCTGCAATAAATGTTTCATCAAAATCAGCCTTAAGAAGGGGTCATTAGGCCCTGCCGATTTAACCTAAATAGTTTTTATTTAAAAATAGTTTTCTTTTTATATATTGCTTTTTTTTTTAAATATATTTTTTAATAGATATGATATGTATATTTTTAATCAGGGTTGTGTATTTGACCGGTCAAATATGATTCGGTCAATTGACGGATACTTGACTGGTCAGCTGGTCAAATTAAA